TGGCTCTGGTTCAGTTTCTTGGCGTTCTACACGCTCGTCTTCTGTTCTCGGCTCCAGTTGTGAGGCTGAGATCTACGCCACAGCCATGGTTGCACAGGAGTTACGCTGGCTCACCTACCTGCTCACCTACCTGCTCACAGGAGTTTCTTGCTCGTTCTCCTCCAGTGCTGTACGTCGACAACAAGGCTGCCATTGCCTTGTGTCAGGAGCACAGAATGGAGCACAGAACGAAGCACATCACTCTGCGTTACTTCCTGGCTCGAGAGTTGCAGCAGCGTGGTCAGCTTCGTCTTGCCTACGTGGCCACTCGGGCCAACACTGCTGATATATTCACCAAGGCACTTCCGCCTGGTGATCATCAACGCTTTTGTACCTTGCTGGGCCTTGTGCCCATGTTTCCTCACTTGCTGTAGACTCTACTTGTACTGTGATCTATATATATATACCTGCTTGCTTGCTCTGCTAGGTAGAGATCACTGTACTGCTGCTGTTGCATATATATCTCTGCATGCAAACTGGCCTTGTGGCCCTTTGCTTGTGCTCAGAGTGTGTGGTGACGTTGTGATTCACCCTGAGCTTGCTTTGCCTCTCTTGACTGGTCTTGTGAGCCCTTGGTCTCCCCCACTTTGCCTATGGGGGTGTGTCAGATTATGTATGCTATTTAGGTTTAGGCTGTAGTGGGGTAGCCAATATGGGGTACAACCCCTTCTAGGGTTTGATATTTGTACCCAACTGTTCCATAGATCATTCATTCCTGCCTATACTTCTGACAGGGGGTGGTGGTGATGGCGAAGGCATACCCTCTACTTCTTCCGTGCCTACTTTGCCCGTCGGGGGTGGTGGTGATGTCGAAGGCATACCCTCTACTCCTTCCGTGCCTCCTTTGCCTGCGGGGGGTGGACATCATGCAAGCGGCAGCATGCCATTGCCTACAGCACCATCGAGCACGATGAATGGCATGCTAGAGGACAGGTGAGCAGTTGATATACTACATTTTTGGAAATCATGTTACAACCTTGTAAAATCCTCTGGTCCCACTTAGGCTCTTTACACTTTCACGTCAACCATATGCTCATCATTTGTGCCCTTTTTCTATACCCCTCGTAAGGCCTATTTGCAGCCATCCGCGCGCGAGCGCGCGCGGGACAGTCCCCAGGCATTGGCCTACATCACGTTGCTCAGCAATGGGTATGTCTAGTCGAACCACGTACCGTTGTCGGGTTCTTCAAGGGGTGTCGCTAACTGTGCTCGCATCAAGATACATGCGGAGGTGCTATGTCTCTCAGGTCGTGGAAGTTTTCTTGGGCTTCAGTTGGCATGTTTTGGAGATGCGATAAGTGTTCTGGTCGTGCACCAATCGAACCCTTGACAAGAAGAGAGTTGGGGTTGGTGCACGAGTGCCCATGTTACACTCAAAATATGTGGGAGCATTCGCGCTCGCTGGGATGGGGTATCAACAGATGTGGGAGTTTAACCGCAATTTTGGCATTCCATGTCCCAGCAAAAGCACGTTCTATCGATACCTTGGGGGCGATAATGGGTTATGGAAAACAATACTTAGGGAGGCGGATAAGTCGATGGCTTTGGTGCGGGAGGAGATGAGCAAACGTGACATTCCGGCCGAATACGTGACGGTGGATGGCCGATGGTCACATGTCCGAGAGGGTGAGTGGTGCACAGTGTCGTTCATGGACATACCGTCGCGGAAGATCTTGTACTGTGTAACAACACGTAAAGGGGTGGATGATAAATCGTCAGTGCGATTGGAGCGGGTGGCCTTCGACAGAGGGGTTGATGAGTTGAAGCTGTTGGGGTTCGATGTGAAGGACATCATTTCGGATAAATGGACCACGTTTAGAGGCGCTGCGACAGAGCGAAATCTGGATCATCAGGTGGATTGGTGGCACGTGAAGCGGACGCTGTACAGTCTTTTCTGCAAGGAGCTTCAGGATCAGGTGCGGATGGCAGTGGAGGTGGACAAGGCTAGCTGTATCGAGGAGCTATGGTTGGCTAAGGTGGAAGACTTAAGGCAGTGGTTGAGGACCAAAGGATTGGAGAAAGAGGCGAAGGGGACACTCAAAGCATCACTTGTGAAGGCTGTATGTGAAGCCATGGGTACCATTGCATATGTGAAGATGACCCCTGATGAAGCGAAGTGGAAGTTTCCTGAGTTGCGAAAAGTCCGGCGGCTGGGAGGAGAACGGGCGGCGGTAGATGTCCCAGTGGGATATGGCGAGGTGCGATGCAGCCCATCGTTCGAGATGCTGCGGTCGACGAGGCGGATGCGGGTGCAACCCAAGTTGATGTGCAGTGGGCGGATGTGGAGGAGTTATGGCAACATGATATCCATCCTGTGCGTGGTGCGAGACCATCGTCATTGGCTAGTTCTCTCATCGTGCACGCACATGCGGGTGCATGCAGTAACTTACGATTCATCGGCGGGACGACTCCATGGGCCAACGTTGATGAAGCTACTGGTATGAACGCTTTGTGAAACTTACTTTCCATGCCATATTCAGATTGGAGTACGCCGCTTGTTTCCTAAAATTGTTCATATTGCTCGTTTTGACATGACAGAGACGATGACTGGCTGCAACAATGATGGTGCAGCAAATGAGACCGACAATCACGGAAGTGACGTCGGAGGGAATTTGCCCCGTTGGACTGGGCGGCGAAAACGGAAACGTGGCGGAGATGAGATAAACGCCGGCGATGAGGAGAGTACGGTGGCACAGCGCTTCGCCTCGCATTTCTTCCATGTGATGATGCGTTGAGCGGCGCTGTTGAAAGCGGGCACCCCTATGACTCCCGAAGATGTGGCAAAGGAAATTGGGACGGCACCTAACCACTAGGCAGGTGACCACTCAGAGTGTGGACGGAACGCGAGTATTCCTCCAAGGTGTGTTATCGAGAAGTGGGGCAGGGAATGTGCACTTTATGAGCCTGGATCGGAAACGCACAAAGCGGTTCTTGCATGGTTCAAGAAACGGTGTTCGCCAGACAAGGTGAAACCCTATGTTCACGGAGCCAACAGTTCCATAAACGAGTCTTTCCATTCCGTGATCATCAAATACGCTGCTAAGCGTATCAGGTTCAAAGGTAGTCTTGAGGCACGAGTGGGGCTGGCTGTCCTGCATTGGAATAACTCGATGGACAGGCTGGTCACATCGTATCGCACTCGTGTACGGCAAGTAACTCGGGTGCGACGGGGCAACAAGGATCGAACCCTCGGACCTATGTATTGTTCTTGGGTTGATCGAATTATGCAGGACTGGCAACGATCGCTGGGGTTTGGAGTCGACGATGAGATTATGGAGACGGCCTCAAAGAGGCAGGCGCAACATCTTGTCGACTTACCTTGTGGAGGGCTACACCCATCTGTTGTTGGGCCAGTTACTCCTGTGCGAGAAGGTGGCATAGTCCGCGGCCTTACTTCGACGCGCGGTGTTGGGCGACGTCTTTTATGTAAGATCTGTACCACATTCTTACCAACCCTTACTCTTGTCTTATGTAATATATTTTGACGCTTCCCTCTTGCGATCATGTTGCAGGTGATGCCACCAACCATCCTCAGAAAACGTTTTGGAAACGCGCGCGAATCCGTGGAAAGATCTAAATCACCATTTTGTCCAACACGCCGCGTCAATTTAGATGTCAGCAATGCCGGTGTGCGCCTTAAGGGTAAGAGTGCTCATCCTTGTCCATATCACTGCTGCTCATGCCCATAACATGTGCATCTTTCGCTTTGCCCTCTATCTTCCCTTTCAGAATCGGTGTGCCCTCTCCCAGCCTTGTCCCATGCTCCCATCCTACTCCCTTGCTTGCCCATCTCACGCCCTCATGCTTCAATTCCCAAGTCTAGTCATTCTAAACCCTCCACCTCAGTCAGTCATAGAGCATTATTTTCCTCTCACATTTCAACCTTGTTCTCTCAGCTCCTGGACGTGCTTTTGGGGAAGGACACTGGTGTGGAGTTGGTGCCATACGAGTAGAGGGCCATGGTGGCGGCTCCGCGCCTGACCCCAAAGGAGGCCTTGGCGCCCTTTGATGTCAGCCGAGTCGTGGACCCCTCCGAGCACAACCTCAACCACCGACAGGTGCGAGTGCCATCAGTCATGCAAATCAACGGTACATGCGACAGCGTAAGTCAAGTGCAAGTGATTAATCGTTTACCATCAGGTATCTTTCGTAAACCCTTCATTCGTCTTTGTCGACTTAGCATGCATTGTGATACTACCCAATTATCCCCTTCGCAACGAAATACAGGCTGCTACTACTCCATCCGGTTCCATGCCTTCTTGGTTCTAACCCTTGATGCATACTACAACCACTGATTTATCTTTATGTGCTCGTTTCACTATCATTGCACTAATGTTGCCCATGCCTCACACCCCTCCCCACACATGCGTTCAACCAGCCGCATGGACGCTATTTCAACAGCTTTCAAGGTCAGGAGTGGACCCTTATTGCTCCCAACGTGATGCTCTCATTATGATTCGTCTCTTTCTTTGCATTACTTTTCTATGTTTTGCTCCACTGTACTGCAGATCCATTTGGTGTCCGGAACATTTTTGTGTTTGTTGGAAATTTTCTCGGCATACAAGACATTACCACCACACGATTGAGCCTATGTAGCCTAGAGATACTACTCCTACCTGCATGATTTTGGCAGCAACAGGTTGCACCTTCTAAAACAAGTATGGTAGTTTGATGTTTTTGCTCATGGCAAAGCATAATTAGCATGCGTGTGTTTCAAGGTGCTCAAGTCATAGCAGGCGTATGCATATATAAAGGATTTTACATAGAATTTTGGAACAGGGGACTAACGCGAATGAGCACTTGTCCACCATGCATGTTTGCCTCAATGGTCTTGGTTTCAAGAATGGCACAACATAAGCACTCCTGCAGTGAGAGTCAACGGTGATAAATTGAGTGCCATTATATGATGTACGAGCCAACAGGTGGTGTTGGAGGTGGACAGCCCCCGGTCTCCATCGACATCAGTGCATTGTCCTCTGTTGAGGGAGGAGGTGTGGTGGCGATAAGCTTGCTGACAGTTGCCATACATGGGGAGAGGGTGAGGGAAAGGGAGGCAGAGGGTGGGGGAAAATAGGAGGGAGGGTGAGGAAGGGCAGGGAAGGCAATGGTGGTAGTAGGGGATAGGTAAACGGGGAAGGGGGTGAGGAAGACGAGGGACAGGGAGAAAGGGGATAAGGAGGAGGGAAACAGAGAGAAGGGGGACAGAGAGAATAGGGACTGAGAGGACGGGAGGATGAAAGGACAGGGGCATGTGAGGACAAGAGGACGAGAGGACAGGGGGACGAGAGGACAGGGGGACGAGAGGACAGGGAACAGGGGGATGAGAGGATAGCGGGATGTGAGGACAGAGGGATGAGAGGACGGGGGGATGAGAGGACCGGGGAATGAGAGGACGAGGGAATGAGAGGATAGGGGGACGAGAGGACAGAGGGATGAGAGGACGGAGGGATGAGAGGACAGGGGGATGAGAGGACGGGGGGATGAAAGGATGGGGGGATCAGAGGACAGAGGGATGAGAGGACAAGGGGATGAGAGGACAGGGTGATGAGAGGACAGGGGGATGAGAGGACGGGGGGATGAGAGGACAGAGGGATGAGAGGACGGGGGGACGAGAGGACTGGGGGATGAGAGGACGGGGGGATGAGAGGACAGGGGGATGAGAGGACGGGGGGACGAGAGGACAGGGGGACAAGAGGACAGGGGACAGGGGGATGAGAGCACGGGGGGATGAGAGGACAGGGGACAGGGGGATGAGAGGACGGGCGGATGAGAGGACAGGGGGATGAGAGGACGGGGGGATGAGAGGATGGGGGGATGAGAGGACGGGGGGATGAGAGGACAGGGGGATGAGAGGACAGGGGGACGAGAGGACTGGGGGACGAGAGAACAGGGGGACGAGAGAACAGGGGATAGGGGGATGAGAGGACGGGGGGATGAGAGGACAGGGGGATGAGAGGACAGGGGGACGAGAGGTCAAGGGGACGAGAGGACGGGCGGATGAGAGGATCGCGGGATGAGAGGACAGGCAGATGAGAGGATGGGGGGATGAGAGGACGGGGGGATGAGAGGACAGGGGGATGAGAGGACAGGGGGATGAGAGGACAGGGGGATGAGAGGACAGAGGGATAAGAGGACGGGGGGATGAGAGGACGGGGGGATGAGAGGACGGGGGGATGAGTGGACAGGGGGATGAGAAGACGGGGGGATGAGAGGACGAGGGGATGGGAGGACAAGGGGATGAAAGGACGGGGGGATGAGAGGACAGGGGGATGAGAGGATGGGGGGACAAGAGGACAGGGGGACGAGAGGACAGGGGACAGGGGGATGAGAGGCCGGGGTAATGAGAGGACGGGGGGGTTTTTCGCGGGAGGGGAGGGAGGCCGGCGGGAGGGGGGATTCCAGGGCGACAGGGAGGGCGATGGCAGGGGAAGCGTGGGCGGTGGTGGGGGGAAGCGTGGGCAACGGTGGGGGGAAGCGTGGGCGATGGTGGGGGGAAGCGTGGGCGACGGTGGGGAGAAGCGTGGGCGACGGTGGGGAGAAGCGTTGGCGACGGTGGGGAAACGCGTTGGCGACGGTGGGGAAAAGTGTTGGCGACGGTGGGGGGAAGCGTGGGCGACGGGGAGGAAGTGTGGGCGACGGTGGGAGGAAGCGTGTGTTAGAAAACGTGGGCACAAGGCCTAACAAAGTACAGAAACGCTGATGATCACCAGACGGAAGTGCCTTGGTAAATATATCAACATTGTTGGCCCGAGTAGCCACGTGAGCAAGACGAAGCTGACCTCGCTGCTGCAACTCTCGAGCCAGGAAGTAACGCAGAGCGATGTGCTTCGTTCTGTGCTCCAGTCTGTGCTCCTGACACAAGGCAATGGCAGCCTTGTTCTCTACGTACAGCACTAGAGGAGAACGAGGCCGCTCTCCCAGGTCGGTCAGCAGGTAGGTGAGCCAGCGTAACTCCTGTGCAGCCATGGGTGTGGCGTAGATCTCAGCCTCACAACTGGAGCCGAGAACAGAAGACGAGCGTGTAGACCGCCAAGAAACAGAGCCAGAGCCAAGGCTGAAGGTGTAACCTTGTGACGACCGCTGAGTAGCTAGGTCGTCAACCCAAGAAGCGTCCGAGTGCCCAGTGAGGACAACTGGGCTCCGCCCTCCAAGCACGAGCCCCATGCCCGATGTACTGCACAAGTAGCGCAGTACCCTCTTAGCAGCAGCCATGTGCTCCGGTCGGTGCCTACCAGGAGCCACGTAGCGAGCGAGAAGGCCAAGAGGGTATGGAAGGTCAGGACGAGTGCAGGTCATCAGGTACATGAGGCAGCCCACTAGCTCTAGGTAAGGACCACTCGGCTCTACGGACTCGTCCGAAGGTGGAGCTGAGAGCGAGTGACCTGTAGCCACAGAAGTGTGCTGTGGCGAGGACCAGGTGAAGCCGAAGCGCTGAAGGACCTGCTGCACCATGTGTGACTGAGTCAGTGTGATGGTGCGGCGTGCTCTGTCCCGGGTGATCTGCAAGCCAAGGTAGCTGCGCAGCTCACCCAGGTCTGTGCACGTGTGTCTCTTCTGCAGCTCCGACTTCACCAGGGCGAGAGCCTCAGTGTCAGCAGTGGCAAAGACCAAGTCGTCGACGTATACGAGGATGTAGAATGGCGGCAGCGAAGTGTCGGTGCGCAGAAACAGCGACGGGTCAGCAGTAGAAGGCGCGAACCCAAGAGCCGCAAGTGGCGTCCTCACTGTGTCGTGCCACTCACGTGGCACCTGGCGGAGACCGTAGACCGGTCGCCGGAGGCTCCACTGGGTACCAGGAGGGAACGACCCAGTGAAGCCAGGAGGGCGGCGCAGCCAGATCTCCTCGTGCATGCTGCCCTGTAAGAAAGCTGTGCTGAAGTCAAGAGAGTGAAGCTCGTAGTCACGCTGAGCAGCAACATAAAGTAGCACCCAAAGAGTGGTCATCTTCGGGGTGGGGGAGAAGGTCTGGAAGAAGTCAACTTCCTCTCGCTGACTGAAACCTTGAGCAACGTAACGAGCCTTGAAGACAGGCGGAGAACCTGGCGGCCGCTTCACCCTGAAAATCCACATGCCACTGACGATGTTCGCCCCAGGAGGGGGAACCTCGTCGACGTAGGTGCCTGTGTTCTTCCAGGATGCCATCTCTGCGTCCATGGCTGTCTGCCACTGAGAGGAGTACTCACCCGCGATCGCTTCAGCGTAAGAGCGCGGGGTCGGGATGTCTGGAGCATCCGGGTCTCCCTCAGGGGCAAGCAGCATGGACACGAGATGAGGCGCAGCGGCTGCAAAACACTCAAGGTCTTCCTGCCTGTCCTCAAGGACGTCCGTGCCAAGAGCACACTCACCCCCGACGGACGGAGAACAGACAGACTCAGACTCAGCAAGAAGACAAGCGGCGTAGTCTAGACGACAGGCAGCAGCAAAGTCAACAAGCTCAGCGACTAAGGCAGACGCAGCAGCAGACTCAAACGACGGGTCAGTGACAACTGTGGCTAGCAGACGTGTGACAGTAGAGCTAGCAGCACGAACGCGGTCAGACTCAAGCTCAGGAACGGTAGGCAGAGAAGACACAGGAGGGGACGGCAGGGGAATACGCTGCAGAGGAGAGGAAGGACGACGAACTACGAGGTGGGTGTCGGGGACAACTGGCTGACGCGAACGAGGAACACGACGACCGGAACGACCAGAACGGACAGGTGAGACAGGACGCGACGCAGGCTCACGACGCTCAGTAAGACCCCCTGACTGCTAAGTGTAAAGAGAAGGAGCAGGCAGCGGTGAACCAGGCTGTAACGGAAGACCAGTAGACGAAGGGAGACTAAGAACCTGGCAAAGTACAGAGTTAGACGGTGGCTGAGACGACGGAGACGGCGGAGCAAAGAACAGGCGCGGCTGTGCAGTGCCACCAGCACCAGCAGCTCCAGCACACCCAGCAGCTCCAGCACACCCAGCAGCTCCAGCACCTCCAGCAGCACCAGACCCCTCAGCGCCAGCTCCTCCAGGACCAGCTCCACCAGTAGCAGCACCCTCAGAACCAGCACCTCCAGTCCCAGGGTCCCCAGCCTCAGTGTCACCAGCAGCAGCACCTCCAGATCCAGGGTCTCCAGCAGTAGCACCGTCAAGCTCAGCACCTCCAGCCCCAGCAGCTCCAGTACCTCCAGTACGAGCACCTCCGGGACCAGCACCACTCCCAACTCCAGTGACGGCAGCAGAAGTACCTCCAACGGCAGAGCGCCAAGCTCCAGAAGCACGACCCTGACGGCGACCGTACCAGTCGTGCAGCTGCTGAGAGGTGAGAGGTACACGCGGACGAAGGCAGATACTCCAAGGAGACCGCGCAACAGCACACTCAAAACCCTCAGCGCCAGCACCCGCAGCAGCTCCAGGACCTCCAGCGCCAGTACCCTCAGCAGCTCCAGAACCTCTTGCTCCAAAACCTCTAGCACCAGCACCCGCAGCAGCTCCAGAACCTCCAGCTCCAGCACCCTTAGCAGCTCCAGGAGCTCCAGCAGAAACAACTCTAGTAGCAGAGTCAACGGCTCCAGCGCCTCTCGCAGCAGGGCCCCTAACTCCAGCAGCGCGACCCTGACGGCCAACGTACCACTCACGCAGTTGCTGTGGGGAGAGAGGGAGTCGACGACGAGAGTGCAGCGGCGAGGTACCAGCGGAGCGACTACGGAGACGGCTGCCCCAGGGAGACTGCTCACCAGACACCTCAGCGCTCCCAGGTGCAGCACCCCCAGGCTCAGTACCCCCAGGCTCAGCACCCCCAGACTCCTCACGCCCAGACTCAGCACCCCAAGTCTCCGCACCCCCAAGCTCCGCACCTCCAGGCTCTGCACTCCCAAGCTCAGCAGCCCTAGGCTCAGCACCCCCAAGCTCCGCACCCCAAGGCTCAGCACCCCCAAGTAGCAGCACCCAGAGCAGGACCACCCTCAGCATGACCTGAGTCACCAGTGACCTCAACCGGCGCAGGCAAGAGAGGAGGGTCTACCTGAGACACACCTGAAGGAGCAGGACCGGGAGTGGGGAGGGGGTCTACCTGGGGAGCACCTGGAGCGAGGAAGAGCGGCGGGGGGGGGGGAGAGGGGCAGTGCGGTAGGGGAAGAGGCGGTAAAAGGGAACCGACTCGTCGAACGTGACATCCTGAGAGGGGAAGACACGGCGCGAGGTGGGGTGGTAAAACTACCAACCAGGCGCGTCAGGGACAAAGCCAAGGAAGACACAGGGAACAGCGCGGGCGGAGAGCTTGTCCGCGGTGGTATCGCGGACAAAGGCACGAGCACCCCAGACCCGGAAACGCGACGCATCGCCAACCTTCCCCGTCCACAGCAGTGTGGGCGAGGTCTCCGGCAAGGAGACACGGGGCCAGAGGTTGAGCTGATGCGCGGCGTACCGGACCGCAAACGGCCACAGAAAATGGGGGGCAGCCGCATGGATCATGGAGGTACGAGCGACCTCCATGAAGAAGCCAATGCGGCGCTCAGCAACCCCATTCTGCTACGGAGAGGCCGGAAGCGTGAACGAGTGGGTGATGTCGTGCTCCTCACAGAAGGCTGCCAAGAGGTCGGAGGAAAACTCACCACCTCTGTCAGAGTGTAAACGCAGGACGGGAAACTCCGTCCCGAACCGCTCGCGGAGCTGGAGACGAGTAGCGCGGATCCAAGGGATCAAAACATTAGGGACCTCACCCTTGGTGCGCAAGGGGAAAACCGTGGTGTAACGCGTGTAGTCGTCGACGACCAGCAGGAAGTACCGCTCGTGGCCCTGTCCACGAACGCGGGCGGGGCCCCACACGTCCAGGTGGAGAGTCTGCAGGGGAGCCTCTGTGGGAGGGAACGAGGAGGAGTGAGGAGCGGCGCGGTGCTGCCCCTCGACAGAGGGAAGACAGGGAGGAGCAGGCGAAGGTGGGAGGGGAGGAAGAGCCCTGGGGAGACCAGAGACAAGGACACGGCGGTGCATGCTTCGAAGGCGCTGCACCGAGGGGTGACCAAGGCGGTGGTGCCAAAGGAGGGTCTGGTGCGACAAGGCGCGACACGAGTAGGGGGCCGACAACTGACCTGACGCAGACGCAGACGCAGACGCAGCTACCTGAGGGGACTCAGTGGTCAGTGTGTACAGGCCCGACCCCGGCTGCTGAGTGAAGGTAGCTAGGTGACGACCCGTCTGAGCACACGTGAAGTGGGTCACACGCTCGTAGGCAGGGGTGAACTGGTGAACACCCGCGTCCTGGAGCGCAGAACCCACCACCAAGTTCGTAGAGAACGAGGGGAGGTAAAGACCCGACAGTGTGCCGGACGGGACAGCAGGACAAGGGAGGACAGTGGAGGAGGTCGCACGGACTGGACCCCCAGAGGGGTCTGCCAGGGAGAGTGGAACCGGCCGTCTGAGCGGCGTGAGGGTGGTGCTGTCGCGAAAGAAGGAGCGAGAAGCACCAGAGTCAAGTGTGAAGGTGTACAAGGCCTCAGCAGGCGCAGTACCAGAGAGAGCAGACTCACCAGCACCTGGAGCAGCAGCCTCACCAGTACCTAGAGCAGGAGACACACTAGACCCTAGAGCAGCAGCCTCACCAGCACCTAGAGCAGCAGGCTCTATACCTGGGTCAGGCGGTACGCACAGGTAACATGCACGGTCAGCACTAGTAGGCAATGCCTACATGGCAGTGAGAATAGCATCATAGTCAAGAGCAAATATATCTACCCTCTGCCCAAGCAGCTTCACCCAGTCGGGGAGCTCAGCCTCGTCGCCAAACTCGGTACGCCAGGCGTCGCTCAGACGTGCGAAGCAGCGGGACTGTGTGTGACTGAGCGTTCTGCAAGCCTAACCAGTCCGAGCACCAGTGCGAATGACGTACGGGCAGCGAACGGTACTCAGGTACCCTCTACTCTGAGCGTACCACTCACGAAGCTGCTGGGGCGTGCGAGACTCACGCGGACGTCGCTGGAGCTGCATCTGGCCACCGCCAGTAGCAGTAGTAGTAGTAGTAGCAGCAGTAGCAGCAGTAACAGCAGTAGCAGCAGTAGCAGCAGTAGCAGCGCGGCCACCCCTACAACCCCAACTAGCGTACCACTCACTAAGCTGCTGGGGCGTGAGGGACTCACGCGGACGTCGCTGGAGCTGCATCTGGCCACTGTCAGCAGCAGCAGTAGCAGTAGCAATAGCAGTAGTAGCAGCAACAGCGCGTGTAGGGCAGGCGCGGCAGGCAGGCAGGCAGGCAGGCCGGCAGGTAGGCAGGCAGGCAGGAGGCAGGCAGGCAAGCAGGCGGCAGCGCACGAACAAGGTAGGTGCTCACCAGTGGCAAGCAGGGCCGGCGCTCGGCGGGGCCGCAACAGCGGCTGCAAAGTAGGGCCGCGTCGGCGGTAGGGCAGGTCCGCGACAGCTGCTGCAGGGCGGGGCCATGACAGCTGCAGGGCGGGGCCGCAACGGCGGCAGAAGGCTCCGCGGCAGCTGCT